AAAAAAAAAAAAAAAAAAAAAAAAAAAGATATAATTGACATACAGCACTGTCTAAGTTTAAGGTATACAGCATAATGATTTGATTTCCATACATCATGAAGTGAGTATTACAGTAAGTTTAGTAAACATCCATCACCTCATATAAGTACAAAATTAAAGAAGTAGAAAAACAAAATTGTGATAAGAACTCTTAGGATTTACTGTCAACAACTTTCATATATAACATACAGCCGTGTTAATTACATTAATCATGTTGTACATTACATCCCTGGTAACTTATTTATCTTAGAACTGGAAGTGTGTACCTTTTGACCACCTTCATCCAGTTCCCCCACGCCCCCACCCCACCCCAACGCAGTTCTCTTAATTCTAACCTCCTCATGCATCCACCCCTCAGACCTCAAGGACATGTCCCAGATGATCCTGCGGACCAAAGGCCCCGACCACCTCCCCACTGGATACGAGATCGTTCTCTACATTTCCATGTCAGACTCGGACAAAGTGGGCGTGTTCTACGTGGAAAGTGAGTGTCCCCAGCCTGGCCCTCCTGCAGTTCCCATCCAGTCAGTGCTCTCTGAGATACCCCTCGGGGGCCCAGCTTCTCCCTCTAAGGCTCCCCAGACCCCTCCCCTTAGTAGTCACAGGTGCAGGTGACTGGAGAGGGCCAGCTTCTTGGTGATGGTAACCAGGACCACCATTGTCCTGTGAAGTCAAGAGGACCCGTGGGATAGATCTCTCCTCCCTCAAAGGAGTTGGCAGTGACAGATTTATGTGGAACCCAGAGGAGTTCCATGTGAACCAGGGGAGGAAGGGCTTTTGAGGTCCATCTTTCCCAGAATCACATCACCTTCATGATACCTGAGGCAGGTACCCACTCCCTCCCACCCCCACCAGGTGTTTTCTGCTCATCTCAGACTTTCTGAACATGAGAACTGCCCCTGACTTTTAAAGAGCCCGTGATGATGCTGTGGGCACCTTCAAGGAGCGGACCCCTTGGTCCTCTTGCCAAGGACAGGGCCTCCTGGGTCCCCAGTGAGTCAGGAACATGCTTCCGCCATGGAGCTAATCCCCGCAGCTGCCTGCTCTGTCTCATTCCTTCTGTGAACCGGTGTCGAGGCCCCTCAGTGCCAGGTGCTGGTCTCAGCGCCAGGATCCCTGGGTGAACTCTGCCATCACACCCTGCCCTCGGGAAGGAGACGGTCTCTAATGAGGGAAACATAACAGAAAGCACAACTGGAGGAAATGACACAGACCAAGCAGTAGAGAACGGCCAGGGCAGAGGTGAGGCACCACTGGCCTAGATGGTCCAGCAAGGCCTCTCCGAGCAGGCGACATTTGAGTTGAGAACCAAAGCAACCATAAGAAAGAACCAGCCGTTCCTGAGCTGACGGAAGAGTGTTGTAAGCAGAGGGAACAGCGCGTACAAAGCCCGGAGGAGGGAACCAGTATTGGAGGAATAGACAGAAGACTGGAGGAGGGGAATGTGTTGGAGTCAAGGTCAGCGAACTGGGCAGGGGCCAGCGCATGCAGAGAGGGCTCACATTTTATTCCAAGTGCACTGGAAAGCCGTTAGAAGGTTTTAAGCAAGTGACTGTCAAGGTCTGATTTATGTATTAAAAAGCTGTCTCCGCAAAATCGTTTGCTGTGGTGCAGGGTGAGGCCTCCCCTGCATGCCCAGCTCTCTGGGGGGGCCCAGGGTCTCCAGCCTAGCTCTGGGGCCCTCCTCTGACCAGGCCCACTAAGAGCAGTCGTCATGAGGACTTGGTCCCAGTGGCCCTGGACCCTCACCTCAGGGAGGGATTTAGCTAGGACAGCAGTGGACCCAGCTGCCACCTGAAGCCAGTCCACCTCCTGATCCGCCCTGGGCTCGGGCAGTGACCTCACGCAGGTTGGAATGTCCCCAGAGTCAGGCCGGTTCCGCCGCCTAAGCGGGCCGGAGATGTTGATGTTTACCCTTTCCAAGCCAGGGTTGCCACGGGGGATGGGGCTGCCGGCCGGACAGGAGGGGTACAAGCAGGATCTCGACTTCTCGACCACATTGTGTCGTATTGTGACACTCAACCTGTTGCTGCTAGTGACAGCTGGACTTTATCTAGAGCGTCTTTTTGTTGATGGCAGTGGATTGAGATCTGGCCCTTAATCACATCCCTCTCCCTCACTGCCATCGAGATGGGTCCTGAGCAGACAAGAAAAGGAGGAGCCGCTGCTGTGAGTGCTTTGAGATGCTGTTCCCCAGTCTGTCTTATCTGGGCTGCCATCTTGCAATGTGGGGGGAGGGGCGGTGTTAACTTCTTCCTTTTCGTCCATGCAGGCAGTTGGGGGTTTTGTCAAAATCCATGTACACCGGTGGATAAGAATATGTTGTGTTACATGAATGTCATGTGTCACCTGTGTCCCCCAAGGGCAGGGGGCTGGGCTGGAGGCTGAGGGACCCTGAGAGGGAGCTTTAGAGCCCAGAAGGTTCAAATCCTGGATCTGGGCAAGTCTACTTAGCAGCCCAGGCCTTGGGTTCCTCTTCTGTGATGTGACGTGGTGCTAAGGAGAGGCCTGACAGTTCCCGCTGGTGATAGAGATTAGATAAGGAACATGTGTCAGCACTCAGTAGCCGGCCCGTGGAACACTCTCTATAGATGGCACTTGTTGCTTTTGGGGGATTATTATTATGATTATTAATTACAGTAAGTCCCCTACATACGGACGAGTTCCATTCCAAGAGAGCGTTCGTAGGTCCAATTTGTTCATAAGTCCAACAAAGTTAACCTAGGTACCTAGGTACCCAACTAACACAATCCGACGGCAAGCTGCAGTTTCACTTACGCCTGATATTGATGGAACGCACGTTTGCATCTTTGAAATTTCGCAACTTGAAGGTTCGTATGTAGGGGCCTTACTGTATAATGATTGCAGTGGACAGGTGTCTCCAATGCTGTTAGGAAGACCCAGGCATCTATGCTCCAGCCTCAGATTCTGCCTCAAGATCCCAAAGTTGGGACCTGACCTCTTCCTACAAGGGTGCAGTGACCAGCTTGTCCCAGTTTGCCCAGGATTTTTCTGGTTTTAGCTCTAAAAATCCCTCATTCCAGGAAACCCCTCAATCCCAGGCAAACCAGGACAGATGGTCACACTATCAAAGAGTCTCCTTGGGAGGTGGAATGGCTCCAAAGTGACCAGAAGGGTTATGCCACATGCCAGCCTGTGGGGCCGATGCCTGGGGCTAAGGAGAAGTCAGGGTGGCTGGCAGGGCCCAGCCCGAGGCACGTGGGCTGCTCAATAGAGGGTCATTGTTGGTTCCTGCAGGGAGAGCTGGTCACACTCAGGCAGGACTGCACCCAGCTGGGACGGGGGGATGGGGGAAAGAGGCTCCTCGAGACAGTGGCTGGATTGTTCCCACCAAGTCATCAATCTACCTAGAGCTGGCCCAAGACACTAGAAAGAGAGGCACATGTAAATTGCAGGCCCTAGAGGGGAAAAAACTGCATGCAGATGGACAAGAGCGCATCCTTCCATCTGGCCCAGCTCCCCTGCCAGACCCCCACCCTCCCAGGCCCAGGTGGAGCGCACACACGCGCACACACACACACACACCCCACCTAGCTGCCCAGAGCCCTGGGAAAGTTTTGGAGTTTTCTGCAAAGACAAGTCAGCTTCCAGGCCTGAGGATCTCTTTCCTAGCACCAGTTCCAGTGCAGCCTGGGACAGGTGGACATTGGAGGGCCTGGGTGCCTGGGGGAGAATTTTTTTAATTATGCAGAGCCATCTGGATCTACTTAGTGATTGGGACACAAGGTATATGTTGTCTTTTCTGAGTGAGAAGGACTTCACCTTCTGTCTTGAGCTGTTCCTTGGGACACCCAGTGTCTGAGTCTATGTGCCTCATTTCTTGGGCCCACCTAAGGGAAGATGAGGTGAGGTATTTTTCTTTGCCTTCTGTTCCTAAGCCGTTCAATGAAAAGGTCATGAATTTTGCAGTAAGGGGTGTGCTGACACATTCATGGGCTCTCATAGTAGTAACACCAGCAAGTCCTAGCTGTGTTACCGATGGTTACCCTTGGTTACCAAGCTTACCTCAATTCCTGATGCTGTCATTTTATCTTGCAAGGACCCCGTGGCATAAGTGTTATTATCCCCCATTTAACAGATGAGTAAACTGAGGCTCAGGGAGGTTAAGTGAATTCCCTGAGCTTTTGCAGCTTGTAAGCCAGAGAGGTACTTGAACCCGCATCTCTCTGACTCTGGAAGTCATAACCACTAAGGTAACCCACCCTTAATGAGATGTATAACCAGGGTCTAGTTGAGCACATTGTCCTACGTGAGGAACCATCCTGAGCCTGGGCTTTGCTGGTTCCTCCATTCATTCATTTTGCAAGTTTTAATCAAGCACCTTATTCATGCCAGGACTGTTCTAGTTACATGCTCTAGCCCTCAGGTGACTGGTCAATAATCATACCCATTGTTGTTGACAACAGTACTAAGCTGAGCCTGATTCTGCCCTTCCAGCTTTGCAGGGCATAAAGAAACTCCTTCTGGAACTGCATAGGGTCCTACCTCCATGCCTTGGGCAATGCAAGTATCTCCTCTCCTCACAGCACCCCACCTCTGCCGCCCCCAGGGGCATCTCAAAGGCTGCCTTTCTCTGCTCAAACGCCTCCCACCCCGCCTCCCTTCCCCTGTCCTCCTCACCCCAGTAACCCCACGGGCTCTCTCACCCTGTAGCTCTATGACGCTTCCCACATCTGTGCCATCTTATCATCAGCTGAGCACTGCTCCTAGACAGAGGGGCTGCATCTTGCCCATCTCTGTGTCCCCCAGAGGTCCGTGTCCATGTGGTCACAGAGCAGTAATTCAACACATGTGCTCTAAATTGGCCTGAAAATTCTCCCACGGGGAGTGGTATGGGAGCCATTGGTTCATTCAGTAGATATTTATTAAATACAACCTGCCCTGGACCGGGCCTGTCTCAGCCCCCATGCAGGTGACAGTCTCTCAGAGCCAACAACTAAACACTGAGATCATGTCCATTTAAAGGCTGTGATGGGGAAGGACGGGGGCTGCAGAAACTCCAGAGAGAACCCCTGGCTTGGTCTCTGGGGGATCTGGCTATGATTCCCAGAAGTGACACAAATCAAGGTGTGAAAGAAGGAGGGAGATAACTCTTCCAAGCAGAGGGAACAGCGCTGTGAAGAGCTGGGTGGTTTCAGTGGGGCAGGAGCGTGGGAGAAACCAGCCACAAAAACGTGCAGCCAGAGACCCACACACCAATGTGGCTTGCATTATATGGAGAAGAATTTGGGGCACAAATGGACACTTTGGTGTTTTATTTATATGAAGGAGAGGAGAGGTCGGGGTTCAGAACTAGACAGGGATTTGAGTCCCAGCTCAGCCACTTACTGGCTATGTGTCTCCGGACAAGCCATTTCTTATTTCTGGAACTCTTTCCTCCTCTGTAAAATGGGAACAATAATTCCCTTCATTGACATCACTGGCTGCCCGGTCCTCAGCTGCTATCATTTCATGTCCCCTTCCTGGGAGAGTTAGCTCACTTTATAGGCAAGGAAGCCAGAGCCAGAAAGGGTGTCTGGTTGAGTGCCACATGGCTAGGGCCCTACAGTGCTGGGAAGATGACCAGGCCACGGCCCTTCTGGTGGCATTTTCTGCTTGTGCTTTTCTCTCTGTGTCTAGAGGACAGGTTACTCTGCCATTGCGTCCCCCATCAGTGACCCCGCCCCACGGACGGTTGTGGGTGGGGCCTGACCTTGGTCCTTCTCTCCCCAGACCCGTTTTTCGGCCAGCGTTATATCCACATCCTGGGCCGCCGGAAGCTCTACCACGTGGTCAAGTACACGGGCGGCTCTGCCGAGCTGCTGTTCTTTGTGGAAGGCCTACGTTTTCCCGATGAGGGCTTCTCGGGCCTGGTCTCCATCCACGTCAGCCTGCTGGAGTATATGGCCGAGGTGAGGGCTCCGGGCCTCTACCAGGAGGGGCTGCCCTGCGGGCCAGGTGGGGCTCCTTCTAGAAGGCCACTCCCAGGGGGGTCCCCAGTATGCTCTACTCCCCTCAAAGCTCCAAGGGGAGGGTGTCCAGGCTTGGAGACCTGGATGCCCCACCATCCACATGTGTCTGCCAGCGTCCTCTGAGCTATGCTCTGGGGGTTCCTCCTTACTGTACCTACTCCCCCGGATTCTCTCCAGGTGATTTTCTCTTACCTCATGCCTGTCCCTGGTCTGTCCTCCTCCCTGCAGAGAGCGGGCCTAGTTCTGAGGCACAGAGTGCCAATGGTTAGCGCGAGAAGCAAAGTAGGCCACACACATGTGCCTTCCCTCCCTGACTGGTCCCACACCCTAGCTGTGGGTTCTACCAACTCTGACCACAGGCCGAACCCCAAATCCCAGTCGCAGGCCGTGTCCCCTCCCTGTGGCCAGACATCTCACCCACCTTTGCTCTTGGTTTTGGGAAACTGGATGAGAAGGAGAGCACCTTCCGCTCCCGAGGAGAAGCCCCCCCACCCCCCAGCCTAGGATGTGTCCTGCCCACAAGGGCCTCTCATCAAAAACTGCATCCCCAGACCCCTACCCCTCAGGCCCACCCAGCTTTGTTCAGATATAGGGAGGGACCTGGTTGCCCTCTCAGACACAGGGTTTGCTCCCCAGTTTCATCCCCGGACCGCTTTGAGGCAGGAGGCCATGGGCTCTGCCGAAGGTGAAGCTAGGTCTCGCTTAGATTTATGAGAAGGGGCTCTGGAGTCTGACAGCCCAGGTTTGAGCCCATGAGACATTGGGCAAGTGAATTTACTCCCTATGCCTTAGTTGCCCCATCTGGAAAACAGAAATGACAAACACTGCTGCTTCCCAGGGTGGCTGTGAGCATACAAGCTTGTGAGATCTCATTCACAAAGCAGCCTCAAGTCGCTGGGCAAAGGGAAAGGCGGGAAAAGCAGAGCTAACAGGAGGGGGTGGGGAGAGGGCCTCTCCTGCTCCCCCAGTGCCTGGAGCAACCTGGCCATCAGGGTCTCTCAGATTGGCCCCCTCCAGCGGACACTCAAAAGGCAGACCCCGGGGGACTTCCCTGGAGGTCCAGTGGTTAAGACTCTGTGCTTCCATTGCAGGGGGCACAGGTTCAATCCCTGGTCAGGGAACTGAGTTCCTGCATGCCATGCAGTGTGGCCAAAAATAAATAAATAAAAATAAATAAATAATTTTTTTAAAAAGGCAGACCCATGCAGGAAAGGCCACCTCCATCCTCCCCACCAAGGGCAGGGGCCGGTTTCCTGTAGCTTTCCAAAGCCAGCCATGCAAAGGAATCATCTCATCTTCCTTCAAGTTGCAGGCAAGCTTCCCGAACCTTTCCTTAAAGAGCAATGTGGACATATCAAAATTTCCCCCAATAACATTATAACACTCACACATAGAAAAGGGCAAGGTGCCCAGAGCAAAAACAGAGGAAGGCCGGGGCTGGTTCAGCCATCATGTGAGCCAATTTCAGGAAGAGAACTTTGATGCAGCGAGATCAGACAGTGGTTGAGAGTATGGGCTCGGCAGCCAGACTGCCCGGGCTTATGTACAGGCTCTACCACTTACTAACCATGTGACCTTGGACAGCTATGTGACTTGGTTTCCCCATCTATAAAACAAGGATTATAATACTATCTACCCTCTGGGGTTATTGTAAGGCAGAAATGAAATCTCACATGTAAAAATAGGACCTGGCACACCGTAAGTGCTCCCTGAGGTACTACTGTTATTGGTTTCACCCACTTTGTTAGGCAGGAGTGAAAAGCACCCTGACAAGACTTTTTGATCCCCTCCTCTTCTCTGCCACGCCCAGGAGATCCCCCTGACACCCATCTTCACAGACACCGTGACATTCCGGATTGCTCCGTGGATCATGACCCCCAACATCCTGCCTCCTTTGTCGGTGTTTGTGTGCTGGTAAGCATTAGGCACAGCACAGAGAGTGGCTAAAGCTGGGGCTTCAGGGGCAGACAGACCTGAGTTCAGATCATGCTCTGTTACTTACCAGCTGTGTGACCTTGAGCAACTCACTTGGCCTCTCTGTGCCTCTGTTTCTCTGAGACGCTCACATCACAGAGTCACTGTGATGATTAAGTGAGATGAAGCAGGTGAAGTATTAATCCAAGGTCCTGGCACAGAGTTTTTGTGCTCTAAAAAATACTAGCTAGCAGGCTTCCCTGGTGGCGCAGTGGTTGGGAGTCCGCCTGCCGATGCAGGGGACACGGGTTCGTGCCCCGGTCTGGGAGGATCCCGCGTGCCACAGAGCGGCTGGGCCCGTGAGCCGTGGCCGCTGGGCCTGCGCGTCCGGAGCCTGTGCTCTGCAGGGGGAGAGGCCACAACAGTGAGAGGCCCACGTACTGCAAAAAAATAAAAATAAAAATAATAGCTAGCATTTCTTTCCCATATCTTCTTGGCCCATACCATGTAGTCAGGAACCTTTCTCTACAATGGATATTCAGCTCATCTTATTCATCCAGCAGTTCTTTAACTGAGCATCTATTATGTGCTAGACAGCTACAGCGAGATGAGAAGCAGGGGAAAGAAGTGCCTGCAAGTGATACTGGCCACACCACCTGGCCACACACCCCTGCTGTCCTGGACCCATCCCCTGCCTCCATGCTAGGCATAGCTCTTCCTTGGAAATCTGGGGAGTCAGAGATGTAAGGCTTTGGGGCAGGTGAGGGTGAGAGTTCCCCTCCTCGTTTTGTTTGTTCATGACTTTGGTAAACACTGCATGAGGGGATGAGTTGGCTTGGCCCTTGAATCCAGTGGCCTTTGCAGAGGTGCCTTTGAACACAGATGTGGCCTCATCTGCCCAGCACAGCCCAGAGATGCCAACTGCTGTTGCCACCTCAGTGGGCTGGCCCTCATCCCTCCTCACCCTCCCTCTTGGCCTCCCCCTCTTCCTACACTTCTCAGCATGAAGGACAATTACCTGTTCCTGAAAGAGGTGAAGAACCTGGTTGAGAAAGCCAACTGTGAACTGAAGGTCTGCTTCCAGTACATGAACCGGGGAGATCGCTGGATCCAGGTAAGGAACCCCAAGCTGGGAAGGACGTGGTCCTTGGGGCTCAGGCAAGAAGAGGCAGCTTAATGTCAATGCCCTGGCGCCCAGCTGCTCCACGTATGCGAGTTCTGTCCTCAGAGCACACGTGCACGTGTACACAGGGACAGAAATGTACAAGGTAATTCACTGAAGCTTCTTAGGGTAGCAGAAGACTGTAAAACAACCTAAATGTCCATCCACGGGGCAAGGGGGTGACCATATGATTGGACAGCCTTTCTGTGGAGTACTATACATCAGCTAAAAAGAAGCCAATCTATAAATAAAGAATGCACTTCTAGTTAAGGTATTACTTGCAGGAAAATGTATGCAGATGTTACCAGTTATGTTTTTTAAAATGGGGGCAGGATGAGTACAAACATGCTGGGGATGTGCAGAGACTATCTAAGGAGGGATATGTAAGAAACCACTGCCATCATGTGCTTGGGAGAATTGGGGAGGCTGGCTAGTATTCAGTGGTGGCCCCCTGCGCTTGTCTGATAGCTCTTCCCGGTGTCCCCACAGGATGAAATCGAGTTTGGCTACATCGAGGCCCCCCACAAAGGCTTCCCTGTGGTTCTGGACTCCCCCAGAGATGGAAACCTGAAGGATTTCCCAGTGAAGCAGCTCCTGGTGAGATGCTGAGGACCACCTTGGGGGATGAGGGAGGGCACAGTCCTGGGACTCTTACAGGACAGAGTGGTCGGGAGGCCTTGGGCACCCCTGGCAAATCAGTTTACTGCAAATTAGTCTGTTGCCTTCATCTTCTCATCTGCAAAATGGGTCAGTTGGGATAGTAATCTCTAACATCCTTTCCTGCTCTGATAACTGATGCTTTTCCAAAACATGGAGAGTTCTCTCATGGGAAATGAGAGCTATGGGAGACAGAGGCCTGACTCCTGACACTGCCCCACCTCCAACTTATAGCAAAATAAGTTTCAGAGAGGAAAATTATAGTTAAGCAATTGTCAAAAAGCATGGTTCCAACTTCAAAGCTCATTAAATCTGTGATTTTTTTCAGTTCATGAGTTTTTTAAAAAGCAATCTGACCCCCACCCTCGATTCTAGAGGTCATTACCACTCTCCTTTTATGCCCTCAACAACCAACTGAATGAGGACAGAACCAAAATTAGTCATCTTTGTCCTCACCTTCCACCCTGAACAGGCAGGGCGAGGCTTGAACAGAACACGAAACAGAGACTGGATAGATCAGGTGGCTTTGCCAAGGTCACACACAGGGCAGCCTCCTGTGAGACATCAGGGCTGCTCAGAGGCAACCCTTTGCCAGGTCCACACCTGCTTCTTGAGAACATTCACTAACCTAGTCCCTTCATCACAGGGCGATGGCAGAGCCAGTGGTGTGAGCACAAAGCTCTGGAATGCCAGACAGATCTGGCCTTGAGTCCTAGTTCCACCCCTTAGCAGCAATGTGACATTGGGCAAGCACCTTAACCTCCTCAAGCCTCAGTTTGCTCATCTGTAAAATGGGGATAGAAACAGTATCCATCTCACAGGCTTATTGTGAAGATTGAAAGCATTATATAAGGCATCCGTGCTGCTCCTGATACAATGACTATTATTAGCTGCTGTTCTGGTTCTCATTCGACAGCCCTGGACACTGTCCTCGGTGAGGACTGTCCACTTCCTCTAACATGAGGGATAGTCAAACCAGCCAGCAGGCAGGAGAACCAAGGCCTCTCAGATCCTTCTCTTACTCTTTCTTCCCGGGTCACCACCTGCCTTCAGTGTTCCAGGCTGGCCTAGTACCAAGGCCCCCAGACTGCATTATTCCTGGAGGCCTGGGCCAAGCCCAACTTTGTGCTGCATGCCTGCCTGCCCATGTGAGGCTGTAAAGCCCCAGCTGCCCCAGCCTCTGGCGAGTCTCACCTTGCCATCTGGGGCTCATAGGCGAGAAAGCACTAAGCTGCAGCCATTCACCCTACTGGGCACAGCTGTCTCTTGAGCCTCTAAGCTGGGCCAGGATAAGCCACATCTTCTCACTCTTTGGTTTTTATTAGCAAGGATTTTTGTCAGACAAGCTTAGTTCCAGCCCCAGTGCAAGCTCCCAAGCAAGATCCCTACTTTTTTACCAAAAAATCATGAAAGGAAACTTAAAATTCAGGGGGCATCACTGGGGTTATATCATGTAACTGCAGTCTGTTGGAGCTCTGTGCTAAGAAGGATTCTGAGGCTATATCTGGGCTCCAGATATAAATATGAATAAATATGGTTAGTTGGGAATGGGTTGGGATGGTATATATGTTACATATCTGCCATTCCTGCATGTATTGGTCAGCTTTCACTTGGTAAGACTGCAGTAACAAACAGCCCCCATATCTCAATAGCTGACAACAGCAAAGGTCCATTTCTTGCTCACATTAAGAGATGAGTGGGGATGTCAGTAGCACAAAATGAGGACCAAACCAGAAATCACCAATATGTCTCCATGTTTAAGAAATAGAGGCACACCCAGAGACCCAGATGTATACACACACACAGACACTCGTATATTCACATTCATTCTCACACTCATACTGACATGCTCACAAACTCAGCCTCCCCACGCCAGGGTCCTGCTCATCAGTGGGAATAAGAAGAGCATGGGTGACCCCCCTAGAAGCTAAGTGCTCACAGCCAGACCAAAGGTAGTGAAAAGTGGTCATCAGAGGTTGGCTGGGTTGGGGCTAAGTGCTCCTGGCCGCAAGAGACTAATGACGGGTGTCTCTTGCCCAGGGCCCAGATTTTGGCTACGTGACCCGGGAGCCCCTCTTTGAGCCTGTCACCAGCCTTGATTCCTTTGGGAACCTAGAAGTCAGTCCACCAGTGACCGTGAATGGCAAAACATACCCCCTGGGCCGGATTCTCATCGGGAGCAGCTTTCCTCTGTAAGAGAAGCCAGAGTGGGCCTGCGGGCAGTGGCGGGGGTGGGGGGGGGGGCAGGGGGGGGGAT